ATGCTTTTTGTTTGAAATTAATTAATTACTTTATTTATTAATTTCTTTTTATTTTTAGTTTATCTATTTTTATTTTATTTTTTATTTTTACTTTTTACTTTTTCATTTTTATTTTAATTGTATTTACTATTGTTTCATTTTTTTCATTATTTCCTTTTTTAATTATTTTTTTATTGCTTTATTATTCATTAAGATATTAATTACCCTATGAGTGGCTCAGTTACTCAATAATATAATTGTCTGGATGGTACTCTATTGTGAGCACCAACTTTTGGGAGTGAAAAAAAAGCAAAACCCTTTCTCCATCTTTCTTTGGGTAAAGCTGATCCTTCCACTTTAGAAAGCCATATTTGTGTTAAAACTTTAAAATGCAAGGCTTTCCAAATAATTAGATACCTGAAAAAACCATAATTGACTCAGTTACTCAATAATATAATTGTTTGGATGGTACTCTATTGTGAGCACCAACTTGTGGGAGTGAAAAAAAACAAAACCCTTTCTCCACCTTTCTTTGAGTAAATCTGGTGCCTTTACTTCAGAAAGCTATATTTGTGTTAAAGCTTTAAAATGCAAGGTTTTCCAAACAATTAGATGCCTTATTAAACCCTTATTAAAAAACAGCACCCAGACAATTTTTCAAGGGGATACCTCATGAATGGCTCAGTTACTCAATGATATAATTGTTTGGATGGTACTCTATTGTGAGCACCAACTTGTGGGAGTTAAAAAAACACAAAACCCTTTCTCCACCTTTCTTTGGGTAAAGCTGATGCCTTCACTTTAGAAAGCCATATTTGTGTTAAAACTTTAAAATGCAAGGTTTTCCAAATAATTAGATACCTGAAAAAACCATAATTGGCTCAGTTACTCAATAATATAATTGTTTGGATGGTACTCTATTGTGAGCACCAACTTTTGGGGGTGAAAAAAAACAGCAAACCCCTTTCTCCACCTTTCTTTGGGTAAAGCTGGTGCCTTTACTTTAGAAAGCTATATTGGTGTTAAAACTTTAAAATGCAAGGATTTCCAAATAATTAGATACCTGAAAAAACCATAATTGGCTCAGTTACTCAATAATATAATTGTTTGGATGGTACTCTATTGTGAGCACCAACTTGTGGGAGTGAAAAAAAACAAAACCCTTTCTCCACCTTTCTTTGAGTAAATCTGGTGCCCTTTACTTCACAAAGCCATATTTGTGTTAAAGCTTTAAAATGTAAGGTTTCCCAAATAATTAGATGCCTTATTAAACCCTTATTAAAAAACAGCACCCAGACAATTTTTCAAGGGGATACCTCATGAGTGGCTCAGTTACTCAATAATATAATTGTTTGGATGGTACTCTATTGTGAGCACCAACTTTTTGGAGTGAAAAAAAACAAAAACCTTTCTCCACCTTTCTTTGGGTAAAGCTGGTCCTTTTACTTTAGAAAGCCATATTTATGCTAAAGCTTTAAAATGCAAGGTTTTCCAAATAATTAGATGCCTTATTAAACCCTTATTAAAAAACAGCACCCAGACAATTTTTCAAGGGGATACCTCATGATTGGCTCAGTTACTCAATAATATAATTGTTTGGATGGTACTCTATTGTGAGCACCAACTTTTGGGAGTGAAAAAAAAAACAAAAGCCTTTCTCCACCTTTCTTTGGGTAAAGCTGGTGCCTTTACTTTAGAAAGCGATATTTGTGTAAAACTTTAAAATGCAAGGTTTTCCAAATAATTAGATACCTGAAAAAACCATAATTGGTTCAGTTACTCAATAATATAATTGTTTGGATGGTACTCTATTGTGAGCACCAACTTTTGGGAGTGAAAAAAAAAACAGCAAACCCCTTTCCTCCACCTTTCTTTGGGTCAAGCGGTCCTTTCCTTTCGAAAGCCTATATTTGCGTTAAAACTTTAAAATCAAGGATTTCCAAATAATTAGATACCTGAAAAAACCAATAATTGGCTCAGTTTACTCATAATATCAATTGTTTGGATTGTACTCTAATTGTGAGCACCAACTTGTGGGAGTGAAAAAAAAAAACACTTTCTCCACCTTTCTTTGAGTAAATCTGGTGCCTTTACTTCAGAAAGCCATATTTATGTTAAAGCTTTAAAATGCAAGGTTTTCCAAATAATTAGATGCCTTATTAAACCCTTATTAAAAAACAGCACCCAGACAATTTTTCAAGGGGATACCTCATGATTGGCTCAGTTACTCAATAATATAATTGTCTGGATGGTACTCTATTGTGAGCACCAACTTTTGGGAGTGATAAAAAAAAAAACAAAACCCTTTCTCCACCTTTCTTTGGGTAAATCTAGTGCCTTTACTTTAGACAGCCATATTTGTGTTAAAGCTTTAAAATGTAAGGCTTTCCAAATAATTAGATGCCTTATTAAACCCTTATTAAAAAACAGCACCCAGACAATTTTTCAAGGGGATACCTCATGATTGGCTCAGTTACTCAATAATATAATTGTTTGGATGGTACTCTATTGTGAGCACCAACTTTTGGGAGTGAAAAAAAAGCAAAACCCTTTCTCCACCTTTCTTTGGGTAAAGCTGATGCCTTTACTTTAGAAAGCCATAGTTGTGTTAAAATTTTAAAATGCAAGGTTTTCCAAATAATTAGATATCTGAAAAAACCATAATTGGCTCAGTTACTCAATAATATAATTGTTTGGATGGTACTCTATTGTGAGCACCAACTTTTGGGGGTGAAAAAACCAGCAAACCCCTTTCTCCACCTTTCTTTGGGTAAAGCTGGTGCCTTTACTTTAGAAAGCTATATTTGTGTTAAAACTTTAGAATGCAAGGATTTCCAAATAATTAGATACCTGAAAAAACCATAATTGGCTCAGTTACTCAATAATATAATTGTTTGGATGGTACTCTATTGTGAGCACCAACTTGTGGGAGTGAAAAAAAACAAAACCCTTTCTCCACCTTTCTTTGAGTAAATCTGGTGCCCTTTACTTCACAAAGCCATATTTGTGTTAAAGCTTTAAAATGCAAGGTTTCCCAAATAATTAGATGCCTTATTAAACCCTTATTTAAAAACAGCACCCAGACAATTTTTCAAGGGGGTACCTCATGATTGGCTCAGTTACTCAATAATATAATTGTTTGGATGGTACTCTATTGTGAGCACCAACTTTTGGGAGTGAAAAAAAACCTTTCTCCACCTTTCTTTGGGTAAAGCTGGTCCTTTTACTTTAGAAAGCCATATTTATGCTAAAGCTTTAAAATGCAAGGTTTTCCAAATAATTAGATGCCTTATTAAACCCTTATTAAAAAACAGCACCCAGACAATTTTTCAAGGGGATACCTAATGATTGGCTCAGTTACTCAATAATATAATTGTTTGGATGGTACTCTATTGTGAGCACCAACTTTTGGGAGTGAAAAAAAAGCAAAACCCTTTCTCCACCTTTCTTTGGGTAAAGCTGGTGCCTTTACTTTAGAAAGCCATATTTGTGTTAAAACTTTAAAATGCAAGGATTTCCCAAATAATCAGATGCCTTATTAAACCCTTATTAAAAAACAGCACTCAGACAATTTTTCAAGGGGGTACCTCATGAGTGGCTCAGTTACTCAATAATATAATTGTTTGGATGGTACTCTATTGTGAGCACCAACTTTTGGGAGTGAAAAAAAATAAAAATAAATTAAAAGTAAAAGTGAAAACAATTGAAAGTAAATTGAAAGTGAATTAAAAGTAAATTGAAATCAATTGAGAGTAAATTGAAATCAATTGAAAGTAAATTAAAAGTAAATTGAAATCAATTGAAAGTAAATTGATATCAATTGAAAGTAAATTAAAAGTAAATTGAAATCAATTGAAAGTAAATTGAAATCAATTGAAAGTAAATTGAAATCAATTGACAGTAAATTGAAATCAATTGAAAGTAAATTAAAAGTAAATTGAAATCAATTGAAAGTAAATTGAAATCAATTGAAATCAATTGAAAGTAAATTGAAATCAATTGAAAGTAAATTAAAAGTAAATTGAAATCAATTGAAAGTAAATTAAAAGTAAATTGAAATCAATTGAAAGTAAATTGAAATCAATTGAAAGTAAATTGAAATCAATTGAAAGTAAATTGAAATCCTTTCTTAAGTTGATTGACCAAAAAAATGTTGAGGGGGGGCAAAAAAAAGTGCGAGTTATAGAGTATCCTCAAATTGTTTGGGGGGGGGGGGCTCCTCACACTAATCAGAGGCACACATTAATAGGGATTTCATAGTGGTATAGCCTCCTATACTAACAAGTCAAAAAAGGTTTGGTAAATATCCTTATATATTCTCCAAAAATCTCAACATCCCCACGCAAACATCATGGCAACATTTTCCCTCTCCCCATGCTTACGGCAACATACACCCATGCGAGACTTTGGCATCCCATCATGCCGGTTTGAAAATAGCTATCCCGTTCATGGTCTATTATGATCACCAAAAAACAATCAATACCAATCAGTATACTCCCCACTTACCAATTGTATCCCATTGAATTATCCACATATTTCTATTGGTCAAATCCTTTGTAAATGATAGTTTAGTCCCATTTTATTTACAATTCACAGAGGGTTTAGTCATTTTTAAAGTAGCCACTCATAGGTATATATAACGAACTTTCATGGAACTGGGTTGTTTCATGTCTTGGGTTGTTAGCTGGAGGTGTCCACCCATTGGTAGGAATATGACCATAGTTATCCATATTTAACCATTATTAACCACTGATCATAATCTTAGCCATATATAGTTACCCATTGTTAACCATAGTTGATCCATAGTTAACCACTGCTTATATGACTATGATATGGCTTTTATATCATCCACTAATATTATATGAATAACCACTTAGTATTATTTGATTGATATTTATATATTATAATATAACCCAATAATACCAAATATACAATACCCATTCCTTGGGGTGCCACTTGGGGCTCTCCCTGCGGCTGCTGCCGCTGCCGCTGCCCCTGGCCGCGAGTTTGGAGGACCTTTTGCAGCGGGCAGGGATCAGAGGTTGGTTTCCTAATCTTTGTAGCCATTCTTTTTGGCCTGGGTTCGGCTATAGTACGTGGCACCAGTTTTGGTGTTAATAAAAGCTTTGTACTTTTGGCCTTCTCCTTTTCCAGATGCACGAATCCGCTCATGCACCTAAGCAGGGGGTAATCCCAGATAACCATTAATGAATGTGATACCATTCAATATAGTCAATATTTAAGAACGTTGTATGGATGTATGGATGTATGTATGTATGTATGTATGTGTGTGTATGTGTGTATGTGTGTATGTATGTGTGTATGTGTGTATGTGTGTATGTGTGTATATGTGTATGTATGTGTATGTATATGTATGTATGTGTATGTATGTGTATGTTTGTGTATGTTTGTGTATGTATGTGTATGTAAGTGTATGTATGTGTATGTATGTGTATGTATGTGTATGTATGTGTGTGTATGTGTGTATGTGTGTGTATATGATGTATGGATGTATGGATGTATGGATGTATGGATGGATGGGTGGATGGATGGATGGATGGATGGATGCATGCATCTCTCTCTCTCTCTTTTGTCACTGCCTATCGTTGTGTATGCACATATTGTATATATAATGTATACCCAACCAATGTTGGAACTTTGTTGGTACAGGAGTAGTGAATATCAAAACGTGTCCCCAACAATAGTGTCAATCCTCAAAAGTGGTGTTGAGTAATGATAAGGCATACCCACCCAATAGTTGGAGATCGTTACTATTAATCTTTCCTTACTTGTTGGTGGATGTTGGAGGCATGATAAATTGAAAACATATAAAGTGAGGCTTAAGTGAGGAGGTCCCAAACATTAACATCCCGGAAATTTAGCCAGTCTGGCCTCCCAAGTACCATTCTTTGACAACAAAGAGCTCTCAGCCTTCTTTCGAGTCGTCTTCTCAGTCTTGTCGACCTCCTTGTTGTCCACAGGCTTCTCAGGCTTCTCTTTCTCCTTGTTGTCAACAGTCTTGTTGTCCACAGTCTTGGTCTCGGGAGCTGCCTCACCAGCAGCATCACTGTCCTTGGAAGGAATCTCACCTGGGGTCGAATCATCATGGTTGGGTGGAACTGCTGCTGCCGGTCGCTTCATTGGTGATGTAGAGGGTTCACATGCGCTAGATGGCCGTTTCAATCCACGGCCACGTCCACGTCCACGCCCCCGACCTCCTTTGACTCCTTTGCCGCTCCCTTTTCCATCACAAGGTTGAGGTGTACCGGGTGGTGAAGCTTCCAAGATCTCCGGGTCCTGAGAGTCCTCGTTTCCTGCGCTGTTCACCTTGTCATTCTGAGTCTCTTCTTTGTCAGGTACTTCTCGGGTTTTGTTAGTGCTAGCTTTTGCTCTAGGGTTCGGGGGTGGATCATTCTCATCCCGGGCTGCTTTGGCTGAACTTGGTGGAGATGGCATAGGGGTCTGAACTGGGGATGATGGGGGTTCTAATCCCATCCGGATGGCAATGATGGCCTTGATATCCGCCATGGCAACCAAATCAAAATTGTGTTCCTTGATTTCAAAATGCTGCTGTCAATATCCAATGGATGTCCCACACTTGGTGATGCTAACTTCAATGATGGTGTAGATCACTCAATGATAAGGACCCCATGTTAGATTGAACTGATTGTTGGTGCACATTAACCACAATTGATTCTGCTAAAGATTTCAAAAAGTACTGCAATGATGCTCGGTTGGTATCAATAATGATCCATCAGTGTTTTTCAAATTGCTCAATGTTAGCTCGTCCATGTCACAAGTTGTCACAAGTTGTGACAAGTCCCGGTGATGAGTCCTTTTCAACCAATCACACTTTGAATATCTTTGAATATTAAATGGTAGATATCAATAGTGGGTAGACATTGCTCATAATTCCAATGGATAATAGTCAGAGCTAAATATTCATACATGTTCAGACTCAAGAGGTCGCTGCATGAGAGGCCAATTGCCCCTTCCAAACTCTAAGTTTCAAAACCGGCTCTCAGGCTGCTCAGGAAATCACTGGTCAACACACCTTCCAGGGGATGTGGGTATGTAGTGTGTATACCACGCCGTGTGAGTATTGTACAAAACTGGTATGTAGGTGGTTTGTGATATCAAAGTCAGTGTAACATACAGTAATAAATATATGTATGTCTTCGGAAAGGGTATCTTTGCGTTGGCTTACTACTTTGAAAAATATGATGATTTTGGATCCATTATTGGTCCGTCTATCCCTCCATCCCCCAGTCCTTCAATAGTTTGCTATAGTTATATCTACTGTAGTATAAGTACTGTGTTTGCACTGAATCTAAGACATTAACAAATCCAAACCCTTTGACGAAACTCTTCAAAAACAACCAGCCTTCACAGGGCGCCCAAGCTGAAGTGAGAGAGCATGCTTCAGCATCACATAGGGCTTTTGCAACTTCGAGCAAGCGTTCACCCGGTCAAACCTCACCCGGAACACTTTCTGAACCGCAGATGAAGCTTCGATCTTGGAGATGGAGTCCCCAAACCATGTTTTGCAAGTAGCTGCCTTTGCGGCATCGTTCATGACCTTGAATTTGTGGCCCTGGCTGATTTTGACGCTGAACCCGTCAGTGTCCCCACCAGACAACCGAGAGACCTCAGAGTAGCTGAAGTCATACTTCACAACCCTCTTCTGCCGCTCCAACAACACTAAGTACCGGTAAAGTGTCATCACCTCCGTACTTGTTGACTCAGGGTTGATGGCTGAATGGTCCACAGAAATCAGGGTCTTGTCTCCCTGCGGCCACTCGAAGAGAAGGCCTTCATCCGGTGCTGCCACTGGAACGAACCTTAGAATTACACAAGACCGGTGACAGGTCCATGAAAATGTTAGGTTTGGAAAAAATGGTGGAAAAACAGCAAATAAAACTTCTGGCTTTTTATAACCCAAGAGCTTTCCTGTGCCAAACCCGCCAATGATGGTATGACGAGGGATGTCCCGGTTCTTCTTCACAGCAACTAAGTAGGTGCTTCCAGATTTGCCCCTGAGAAGCTCAACATCAGCAACCTCCGAAACGCACTTGAAGCTGATTTCATCCTGTGCTTTCAAAGCCTCCACACTCTCAAAGTCAGTGACTGCAGGAGGTGCCTCCACCTCAGGTCCCGGAACCGGAGTCTCATCTGCCGCCACAACTTGCCCTGAAGGTGCCCCACCCGAGGTTGAGCCAATCACCCCAGCCAGCATGTTCTTGTAGGTCTTGTCATGCTCGGTCAGCAACTTCTCAAAGTCAGCAGCATAGTTGCCCCCCTGCGTCCTCCATGTCTTGATCTGGTCTGGGTGGATCTCAATGGAGGATCCAGACCTCACTGTCACTTCCAGCTTCAAAGCGTCCACAGACTTTGTGACTTCAGAGCCTGGGATTTGACTGAGCTCCTCATCCGTCAGTTTGATCTCGCCGTCCTCATACTTGATCCCTGCAAAGGTCATTTTTTTCTCACACCAGGCTTCCAGGAGTTCTCTGAGAACCCGGGTCTTCCCATATTCTGCGTTCTCTGGTGAATCCAGGAAATGGGTGCTGAGGTAGTAGACAGTCTTGAAGTCAAACTCCCCAACCATGCCCTTCTGTCTCAAGTTGAAAACCTAGCTGTCGTCTCTTGAAATTCAATCAATATCCATTTCATAAATCAGCAACCCAAAGATGTTCATTATTGGGCCTCTGAAATTGAAACCAATAAAACATCATCAACCGGAGTCAGGGCACAGCAACCGCAAACTCTTCGACATAGCCAGTAAGGTTGCAGATGATGGTGGGCCCCCGCAACTTCATGCCCTTGAAGAGGGACATCAACATAGTTTCGGCTCGCCGAACCCCTTTCTGAGCTGCTGCTTGCTCGGGAGATGGTTTCAATCGTTCACTCATTCGCAGGTCATGATCTGGGGAACCATTTTCTGGTAGTAACAGTTCCTGCCCCCTTGGCAACTTGACTGTCCTTGGCAACTTGACTGTCGGAGCACCCATTTCACTTTCGTTCACAGCAACTGCTCGACCATTGATGGCAAGATCCGAAGATGACAGCCAAGGGTTTGAGTCCAGCTTGTCGTGGCTCACAACCACCCGTCCACACCCAAACCGCCGAGAATTGCTTTTCTGGATGGAACGCTTGTCCCGATCAAACCTTAGCAAGCCGACTAAATCAAAGTCAGGTCAGGACATGTTGGTTGTCCAAAAGTTAAAGGATAAAAATGGGGTGAGGTAATAGGTTGTATAGTAAGTATGTATGTATATGTATATGTATGTATATGTATATGTATGTATATGTATATTCATATGTATAATATGTATGTATATGCTTTAAGACGATTAAAGTATCATACTTATGATGTACGGCAATGGTATGTATTGGGTGATGGTATGCATAGTGAAGGATTGATAAAACAAGTATGATGAAGTAATGGTCCGGTAGAATCATGGTATGATAACAGTTAATTTGTGTGTATCTTTTGGTACAAAGAAACGTTGCAACTCTGGATTGTCTAGTGGCAATTCTATGAACCGTGTGTCGCAATGCTGGCGCAATGCAAAAAAACTTTCTTGCAAAGCCTTCTCCTCGTCGTAGAGGCCCCTCAAGGATGAGTCCTTGGGGAGGTCTGGAAAGATAGCCACCCCACAATTGCGCTCAGGCGCTAGGTTGTTGATCGCAGCAATGCGCTCAGTAAGGGCATCCACATTTCCCGTTGATCGGCAATTGGGAACGTTGAAATCGGTCAGGCTGACAAAAGAGATGTCATCTCCAGTGCACCCAGCATCTTTCGCCTTGGCTAGTTCGGGTATGGTTCTTGGAATAGGTTGACCATGCTATTAAATAGTGGCTTTGCCATGTCTACATTCTACATCTAATCTGATGACCACACTCAATGGTTGAGACGCCTGGAACGCAGTAACTCATAAATTGTTTGTCACTTTCTTTGTGTTTTTTGGTCATGTGCTAAGTAATCAATGTTAAGTACTGGTGTGACCATTGAATGATAAGGTAATGGTAAGGTAAGCTAAAGATGGTGAGGTTAATGGTCATTGGTGATCTTAATGGTCAATGGTATTGACAAAGATAATGGTACGAACATGATGGTAATCATACACTCAATGGTGATGGTATATTTTCTGGCGTTGGCAACGCTAATGGTAATGCCAATTCCTGGTAATGGTAAGATTGCTTTCATGATAAGATCAAGATAAATGGCATTGGCACTGGTAATTCCGTGTTGGTAATATTACTTAACCGGTAATGACGTTGTCTTATTGCAATGGTTGGTTGGGTGCAGGGCATGGTATTATTTGTTTCACGCTAATGCTGGGTGTTATTTGGCATGACGTGAACCGACACAACATGTTATACTACTTGGTACGCAATGTGTGCGGTGATGATGATGCAGCATGGTATGTTATGCTATATTGCACATCATGGAAACATGGTATATTGCCATGTCGCATTATGATATGGAAGCATGGTAATAATTAGTTGTAAAATGTTAAATATGTTAAATGATACTGTATGATAGGATATGGGTATCACACACAATGTGTATTGCATACCAGTGTCACACCCTGCACCAGCATTTGCCTTCCAACCCCGAGAAGAGCATGACGGTCGCACGAGTCCTATATTGAACTCAAGGTTTAAACTAATTGGATAAGCAGAAGGCTTTCAGTCTTCGCAAAGGCGGTCGTTCCTCCTCAGGATTGTTTTCCATTGAGGCTGTGGAACTCAAACCATCAAAATCTACATTTTGATCCATACATGTCGGGTCAGGACTTAATGGATCCACAACAGTTCCGGACCCGGGTGAATCAATGATGGTTTCAGAAGCAAAATCATTGGAAACTGGAGAACCAAAAGAGGATGCATCCCAACTTTTGGGGATTGTTCTCAATGTGGCTAGGTCATGATCGGTTCTGGTTTTTGCCACCTTAATCGTATGTGATGGTGACATAATGGCTCCCCCAGCTGGGCTTTCTTGGGTTTGGTTCCCAAATGCTGGTGGACTTTGGGCTACCTGCACCTTGTGGCTGGTAAGGGTTCCATGAGCACATGGAGATTCAAAATCAAAACGTGGTGTTTGGGCATCCTGAAATACCTCCACGTAGGCACTGGTTTTGTGTTCACATGGAGATCCCGGTTCAGAACGTGGTGTTTGGGCATCCTGAAATACCTCCACATAGGCGCATGGACTTTGGGGATTCTGAAGCACCTGCACGTCGTAGCTGTTAGTGGTGAGGTCAACCACTGGGGAATCCGGTTGTGACAAGTTCTCCACTTCCAACATGTCAATGTCCATAGGCTGTCCATAACATTCATGGTCGAATCTATCGAACCCTGGGATGTGAAAGCCTTGAATCGATGCCGCCATAATCTTTTGCAAATTGGCATCATTGAATGACCTGATAGCCAATAAGATAGACAGGATGATGGTAATAACAAAAAATCTTATTAGATTATTTTTTGTTCTTACAATCCCCTCATCTTGAAACAAAATGCAATAATCACCAGTGGTTGGTAAGTACTTCTAACTCACAGGGTCCCCAAAGCAAAAGTTGCAGGACCTACGCAAAGCTGAGCTACCTCTTCATTGCCCCGGTGACCGAACCGGCTTGGAAGGCATGAGGGAGCTCCATGGACCGATGTGGCAGGGAGCAAATGTCTTGACCCGAAGCTACAAAGTAAATAATGGTGAATTGGTATTAATAGACCCCTCGGTTGATTAATAATAAGTTGGGGGTGGTACCATCTCAGTAGGGAATCATCATGCTTTAGGGGTTAGCACCCTCTGTTCATAAACCATGATAAACCAAAGTTTATTAATACCAACTCACCATTAATCCCATTAATCGGTCATGACCGAGGGTACAAAGAGGCACCTAGTGACCGTAGAATGATAGGACCATCACCTCAATTTAGTCATGTGTTTGTGGTATAGCACTGTATAACCATGTTAAAGTCATAGTAAGTGATGATCATTAAGCCAATACATTTAGGGGTGTTTGTACGTCTTGCCAACTCGAGGTAATGGAAAGTGTGGATCGCCCACCATGGCCCATTAGATGCATTTGAGTTGCCACTGCATCCCTCATCTCCGTGATGTTTGCAGTAGTCAGTTCTGATCTGGGAACATGGAGCACCTTGATGTACTTCTCTGCATATCCCTGCACCGCTGCCTCCACGAGGGGGACACATGAGTTGGTACTGACTATTGTTTGTTCGTGTGCAGATGACCAATGATTAAGGACACAGAATAAGGATGTAATCCTGATAAGGAAACATGTTTTTAATGGTGAATGGTCACCGTTCAATGATCAATGGTTGCTGATCAACTAATTTAATTTAAAAACACCTAATTGATGGTGGTTATCAATAATCGTTGCCCACATTATTTTTCCACATGGGGTATGGATAGATTAGATTTCTTCCCATCTCAATGATATTATGAATTGGAAAACGTGATGAACCATTCGTATGGGCAGTAACTGGCCTCGCCGGATCTTGCTTGATTCTGCATGTGTTTCACCTCTTTTTGGTGCAACTTGGTGGCTATCTTCGTTGGGACCATGTTGATCTTCTCTATCAGGCATTGATCACGTTTGAGACCCGATTGGAAGTAAGTCCACTGAGCATCAAGAACATCTAAACGCTGTTTCTCAACCTTCAAACAAATGGCTTGCTCCCGTTGTTGGGCTTGTTCTTGGGCAAGTGCACATGATGAGGGAAGCATGCTCAGAGAGAAGTTTTGGGGCGCAGCATCCAAAATGAACCGAATGTCCTCATCCCGTGAGGCACTTTCGGAGATGTCCTTCATCCACTGGTCCATCTGTTCTGGCGGAAGGCGGCTGGTCAAGTGGGGGACGAGCTGGGCAAACATACAGCATAGGTTTCTGAGCTGTTTCAGATTCTCTTCGGACATCCTGTATTTTTTTTTGTGTTGGGCTGGAATCATGGAGGTCTCCCTGACAAAATTCGATTGGATTCTTCTGAAGAGCATGGTCTGCCCCAAGTCTGTCATGGGTAGCTTGTAGTCGATGGTGAAGAAGGCTTCATGGTCCAATGGCTTCAGAGTACATGCTGGGTTTGCCGAAAGCCCCGATGCCGTACTTCCCAGGAACAAAAAGGGGTAGGATGCTACCGTTTCCCCAAAGGCTCCCATAGAAAAGGCAAGATCGTGGGTTGATGATTCCACTACGTCAAAGGCATCCGTGCATGTCTTCTCAAGCCAGTGTTTGACAGCAATCTTTCTCCTCTTATCAAGAGCTATGGATCCAACTCCAGATTCAGCCGCATTGTCTGAAAAGGCTTTCACTTCTGGGTGCTGGTTGTAAGCATCCATGGCTGAGTCAAAAGAAATTGCACCCCCATCAGATTTCATAGCTGACAAAATGGAGCACCATTGTAGTGATGAAACCGGTTGCACCTTTGAATCCTTGTTCTGTTTCACAATCTTGCCGATGGTACTCTGCAATCCGCTGGTAGCAGAATCAGTTGCTTTGTAGATGGTGGGAATGACAACCAAGCTTGACAGCAACTGGACTACTTGTGGGTCGGTGATCAACTCTTTGTGGTTCTTCCAAGTGACTAGCAGGGCTATGAACACCGCCATGGCTGCCAGAGTTTTTTGGGAACCGTCACCAAACCAGAAGGTGCCTAGGACAAAGTTGTTGGCGTCACAGCACCCATCCACCTCCTCCGCGGTAGGTGGCAACCGCAAGGAGATCTTCTCGCCCTGACCGGCATCCAAGTATGGCGTGGGGCTGGTTTGATATATGCATGTTTGACTTAGATTTTGGTGGTTGAATGTGGTTGAATGAAGGTGTTAAAACAAAGATACCAACCAGGTGGATTTTTTTCTACTCGGCATGGATAGGTCCGGATAGGTTTTACCAATCAAGGTTCTCCAACAAAAGTATGATATTTCAACTACATGCCAATTTCCAAACATACTGGTTTGGGATGCCTTGCTGATGAATGATTCGGGATGCCTTCCATAGTTATGGGTTGATGATGGTTGTTGATAAATGATCGGAGTAGAGAGTTCTGGGGTACTTAATATATCCCAAATACTTCTTCGTTAATCTCATCCTTGCTGGATATCAAGAAACAGGGAAGAAACAATTGACTTGTCATCACCTAATAAACATAAGTCGAGTGATTGAACCTGGTGTATGATGGTGACTTCAATGGCATCATCAAACTTGATAAAGCCTTATAAATAGTGGTGGTACTGAATGGTATTGGGCAGCAAATGCATAATCAAAATTTGAAAAACCATGATATATAGTGCAGTGGTGGTAGTAAATGAGGATTGAAATCAAGCGCTTTAATAACAACTTGATAAAGCCTGATACTTAGGCTACAGTAATTGTTTTAGTGGTATTTTATGGTATGTGACATCAATTGCAAAATACCTGGTATATAGCAGTAGTACTGAATGATACTTGACACCAATGCCAACCGCATAGTCATAATTTGATGAAGCCTGATATAGAGTCAGTTGCGTAGTGGTGGTACTTTTATGGTACCTGGCATCAAGTGCATAGCCATAATTTGATGTATATAGCCTGATTCACAATATATATATATATATTATACTATATATATTAAATATTATATATATTATATATATATTATGTATTATATATATTGTATATTTTATATATATATATATATTATAATTTATATTATTATATATGTATATTATTTATATATTATAATTATATATATATTATACATATTATATATACATATTATATATACATATTATATATACATATTATATTTATGTACATATCAGTGGTACATAAACTTGACATCAATTGCAAAATCAAAATTGGATAAAACCTGATAGTGTATGATATTTGAAATCAATTGTAAATCAGTGGTGGTACTAAATGATAACTACTTGACGCAAACTGCACAGTATTGCATAGTCATATCTTGATATAGCTTGATCTTCAATTGGTATTCAAGGTTAGGAATTCCCCAAGCCCCAAAACCGTTCGCCGAGGATTTCAGTGGATGTCCCCAAAACCGTTCGCCGAGGATTTCCCAAAAACTGTTCGCCGAGGATTTCAGCGGATGTCCCCAAAACCGTTCGCCGAGGAGTTCAGCGGACCCCTGACCCAAAAAAAAACCGTTCGCCGAGGATTTTCTAAGAGTATTGCTGAGTAGTATTGCTAAGTAGGTGTGGGCCCTTTGGCCAGATCTGGCCAGATTCTGTGGGATCCCACAAGATGAATCTGGGAAGTTGCTGGATACTGTTTTCCTTTCCTATAGCTTAGCCTAAGCTAGCCAGCTTTTCGCCGAAGGGTCCAGCGGACTCCTCAGCCAAACCCTGGACCCTTATCATGCTAAATTTAAGAAACCCAATAGGAATCCCAACCCTAAGTATTCCGAAGTGTGGACTACCACAAAACCGGAGTGGGTTGTTCGCCGAGGAGTCCAGCGAACCCTTCAGCCAAAGTCTTGCTCAGTGGGGTGCCCTGTTCGCCGACAAATCTGGTGATGGTAACTGGCTATCATCATGAATCACACCCATAAGTACATACTGCTGCTGTTATGGCTTCAGCCAAAGTTGAATAGGTTTACGGCAAGTAAGGCCACATATGGGACACTGACATGTTTTAAACCAAGGCTGAACCAATTGATCAAAAGATTGATGGCAAATAAACCTGCTGAATTCCAGTATTACCTACTATCTTCGGTTGGTTAACAATTATTTTTGTGATGTACATCATTATCAACCAGGAATGATTCCATACTTCAGTTCCACATGCAGGGATCCATTGCCTCCCGAAATCGAGTCAGGGCAATTGATCGGGCGATGCCAATAATCTCAGACATTGCCACATGCTTCCCACGCCAGAAAGACTCATCCCGAAATGACCACATGAGCACACTGGTGTCGAAGTTGGCTCCAGGTCGAGGTGGCCACTCCTGCAAAAGCCAGAAGGGGCCATCCTTAGGAGGTAGTACTTATGCAGGGATGATATACAAGATATGGGTATATAATGCTCAATCATCAATTTTATTCATTTATAAATTTGTTATTTTGAAGCTGATTCCCAAAACTGCAGGGGTCGAAGAATGTGAGGACTTGTTGTTCTAAAAAACGTTATGTTCAAGACAAACTTGATTTTGATTAAGCCCTGCCTCAATGGTGCAAAACTTTTCCTTCAAGGTACTGGATGTTGAATCGGGGTCCAAAAGGCCAGCAGCAAGCAACATCTCCCAAGACTCATTCAGAAGGACATCAGGGTCTTTCCATGCTCGTTGAGCTATGTCTTTGAAGGTTCCCCCTTCATTGATGGGCCAGACATACTTTCCCCCAGAGTCTTGCAAAGGAAGTTCTGGAAGACATTCCGTTGCTACGTCACCCGACTTTCTATGCCGAAGGGAGTACATGGAATCAATGCAAGCATTCACTGCATGCATAAGGGGGCAAACTGATTCCATATCTTTGGCAATAGCACGGGTATTTTCACCCGAAGCAAAGGCCTTTGCGGCCCCTGCACCCCCACGAACCTTCTTTTTTGGAGGCATGGCTTCAAACAGCCTTGAACAATCTGAGCTGAGGCGGCAGAGGATACCAAATGCAAGACTGATTCTTGGCATCCGAGGGAGAACAACGTGGGAATCACGATCATTTTTGCTGTCACTCCCTATGTTGGTGAGGGTCATGGCTATCATGCTATCACCCATCCTCACCTACTATCCGATCATACTTGATGTTGAATGACATTCAGATTACAGCGGGATCACATACTAGAAACTTCCAACCCCTGTGGAAAGGCCGTTTTTGGAGGTGGTACTTAACCCAGATGAATTTGAACCAAACCCAAATGCCCCCAAATATGCACAGTTTTTTGGGGGTGGAATACATGTGGTGTCAGGCATCTTCCATCCCCATTTGATGTGGGTGGCTGTGCATTTTCACGCAAACCAGAGGTTTGTCCAGCAAATCTACTATCTAATTTGTCATCCACTGTGAGTCAAGTGGAAATAATGTACGGATAAACTCAAATTATGGCAAAAAGACCCGCCGCAGCCTCCAAGAATCAACATTGGTTTTGACCATGATGATGATGATGATGATGATGATGATGATGATGATGAGTGATGATGAGTGATGTTGGTGATGGTGATGGTGATGGTGATGGTGATTATGATGATGATGATGATGATGATGATGATGAAGACGATGATGATGATTATGATGATGATGGTGATGATGATGATGGCAATGATGATGATTATGATGATGATGGTGATGATGATGATGGCAATGAGGATGATTATGATGATGATGGTGATGATGATGATGATGGCAATGATGATGATGATGACGACGATGATGATGCTGATTGTGATGATGATTGTCATGATGATGGTGATGATGATGCTGATGATGAAAAGGGATGATAACTAAAACCATGATTTAATCAAAGTGGGCCTGAGCAACCTTAAGGCCACCTTCATTTATGATGAACATAATGATGATTCTGATGATACTATGATGACGGTGAATTATGATGATGATGATGGTGATGATGGTGATATATGATGGTGAAATATGATGATGATGATGGTGATGATAATGAAGGTGGTGGTGATGATGATGATGGTGGTGAGTGATGAGTGATGAGTGATGAGTGATGGTGATAATGATGATGATGATGATGGTGATGGTGATGATGATGATTATGATGATGATGTTGGTGATGGTGATGGTTATTTTAATGATGACAATGATGATGATGGTGATGATGATGATGATGGCAATGATGATGATTATGATGATGATGGTGATGATGATGATGATAATGATGATAATGTTGGTGATTGTGATGGTGATTTTGATGATGATAATGATGATGATGATGGTGATGGTGATGATAATGATGGTGACCATGGTGATGATGATGATGATGATGATTTTGATGATGATCATTATTATGATGATGATGGGATGATGATGATGACGATAATGATGATGATGATGATGATGGTGGTGATGATGATGATGATGAAGGTGATGATGATGATGATGATGATGGTGGTGATGATGATGATACTAATACTGATAGGGATCAAAAACCCTAGTCATACTTACTGGGGTCTTGCCAAATGCAGGTCTACGCTCCAGCTCGTTTGGAGGGATTCCAGCAGCTCAGAACTGAAAGCAGCGCCGCCGCACACACCCCAGTGGTAAACCTCGTTTGGTCTGGGCAAGAAAACCATTAGCAGCATCATTATCAGCTTCATTATCGGCATCCATATTTTTATCACAAGTACCAACCATGAATCCAGTTGGCGCCAACCAGGGTTCCTGATAGATAGGTACTTAACTCACCGGGCTGACCTTAATGGAAGTCTGATTTTCAAGGACTTAAATATGTGTTCGCCATGACAATAACCATCAATCAAGACCATCCATCAAGACTATATACATTCTTTTAACCAACAATTAGCAATTATGACCGCATTTGTTTCAAACAACTGAGGGGGCAACGAGTTACCGGCCAGATCAGATTGTTGCTTCTCACTCAAGGTGTTGAGCTTGTATTTGATGATGTCATCCATGCCAACCCCCTGCATCTTGAGCTTCTCCTAGGAAGAGATGACACCAGCTAGACTGATAATAGACATACCGTTTTTGTGGCTTCAACAACATAATTTAAAACTGGCAGAACAGATGGGATATCCAGGGTTATATGATCCATACTCTGTGTAGATTTTTTTTAATGCACCCGTCCTGCCCACTGAGTAGCCTCCACTGGCATGAGATGATGTATTTTCCGTTCGGGATGATGCATGGGCACAACGAAGGATCCGATCGAACGAAGGTATTCCTCGTGTAGTTCTGGTCCTAGGTGGTTTAAAGGACACCCACATGAAAAGGCTGGTTCATCTTTAATGAAACCCATTGAATTATTGATCGTCGGGATTTGTGAAAAAGAAGTTATGTAACCCATGGTGGTCATCATTCATTGCAATCCAGCCTACACAAATGCTAGAGAAACAACTGAGGTATTGTCCACTTGGATGATGATTGTCTCGCTGAATGGATCAATGCCCCTTTGCTGAAGGATGATGGTGGCCACTGCCAGGATAGACAGTTCCCGGGCTGTGATGTCCATGCCTTTCTCTTGCAGCGTTTTGTGAATGCCATTCACCTTTGCCTGAGGGGCCGAGAATCACCCAACAAAAATATGGATAGTTGTCATCAATTGATATTTTAATTGGTTTATCCGATCAACCAAACCCCTTGAAACATCATCAATTTGCTGGTAAAAGCATACCTGAATGGCTGATTTATTTCATGTTTAAATATGTTACGGTAAAAGGGTGAATTTGAACATAACTGTTTATGTTGGATTATCATTGTGTTTGGCCAACCAACACCTTCCCCAGTTTGGCTTTCATCTCATCGAAGGCTGATTTCCATTTCTCACCAGAAGAAGCCCTCTTGGGCTGTGGAGATGTATCCGTTACCATGCCACCGTGGTCGATGATTTTGCTGGTGGGCAAATGCTGACTCGCCATGCTCAAAAACAGATCCCTTGGGTCAGGTCCATGTTGCTTGAAGCAAGAGGCCTTGATGTAGTCCCCAACATCTACTTCGACTTTGGGGAACCCCAAACTGGCACGAAGACACCAAGGCATGCACTGGGATGAATCCCCGCTCTTCAAGAGCTTTGTTTTGCAACAGGATGGGACATTCTGAGAACTGTTTCCGTTCATGGGTCATGTTCCGCACGTTTTCTGTGATCACCCATTCAAGGTTTACATCATAGTCGCAGTAGTCCAGCAATGCCCGAAATCCACCACCAGTAGTGGATTCTTCATCAGCAAAACTCTTTGGGGAGGAGTTCTGAGAGGAAATCGATTTGCATGGAAAACCGATTGTCAATCCAGTGACCTCCACAGGGGACAACTCGTCATATGTTTAAATACCCTAAAGTTGGGATTTCTATCCAACAAGCTATAGTTAAAGATTATGAACTGTCCAAGTATTTGGCTTTGTGGTTGCCATGAACTGAACCATTTGGTGCTTGAATCCCCAATAGTTATCGAAACTATTTTCTATTTGCCGCGCTGACCTTAGGCACCAGGTGGAATTGCTGAGTGACGGCATCCTTCCCACGGCCCGATCCCAAGCATTTCATGTCATCGAAGATCATGATAGGACCAAAAGCTTGGCTGAGCCATTGTGCTTTCCACTTCTCCCGCTCGCACATGAACTTTGTCTCGAACTGAAGGGGAGCACAGCTGAGAAGGATAAGGTTATTTTTGAGGGTAATGAGGTTGAGAGTAATTACCTACTACGTTCAATGGTCAATTTTTTGATGGGTGACATGGTTGTACCTAAACCCGAATAGTTGCATCACTATTTATTTGGTGAGAACCACACTTTACTGCAGGTATCATTATGTGTATGTGATACCCATGGTCCCCAAGTACCCTCGACTGATTCTTGACCAGGTATTAACTTCAAAATTATTGAACCATATGCCTTAAACTATCATGCAGAATCATCTGCCCGTGGCTGGTGCCTTTTTGATGCCACCTTGCCTGCATCACTGGGACTGTTCCAAGTAGTTCTTGTAATGCAGGGTTAAGATTGTCAAAGACCATCTCAGCAATTCCCAAACCGCTGCAAACCGAAGCAACTGGAACTTTGATGGAACCAGTATGAGGCACATTCTTTGAAAGACGACCATTTACAGTCTCCAGCTGTTGCTTGATGGTGCCGATCTTCAAGTATTCATGGATAGCGTTGCAAGCCTCATGGGTCTTGTTTGTCAAAGATTGCTAATGATTATTTTCACACCAAAAAATGTAAAAATGAAAACCACGTCATAGTATAGTCCTAGTGGTCATCACCAATATCAGGGATCTATATTGAAAAGTATATGTTTAGATTGGGTGCTGAGGAACACTGACCGACCCGAATGGACATGGAGGCAAGACTGGGGCTTCCGGTTCTGGCATGTCGTTGTCAGAAGCTGGCATGGTTTCACATTCGGAGTCTTCCTGCTGGTTCCTGAAGCCCGTGGGGTGGTGGTGGAGAATTGGAATGATAGATCACTCCGCAAGACTGAATCAAGTTCATTCCAAACACTGGGGGCAAATCCAAAACAAAGAAAAACAGGTTGATAGACAGTTTTAAGCTAAGCCTAAGGACTCAACTTGCTCAGTTCGATCTTCTTCGTCACTAGCCAGGAAAACTGATTCTTCCAAAGCAGCTTTGGAGTCCTTGGAGGTCCTTCAGGGTGATTGGAACAGGGTGAGGAGCAAAACATATCAACAATTACTGATGCCAACATAACATGACAATGGGGAGTCTACCATGTCTACATCATAATGTCTTTATTCATCCATACTTGTAGATTTCGATTGTTAAGCTTGATTTTTGGAATAATGGTTAATTATTCCGGGTCCGATAATTGTTGGTACTCAAATCATGGGGTGAGGCTGATATTCCTTGAAAAACATGTTGCTACATTTCCAACAGACCTCCTGAACCCAACATGTAAAGAATTGATGAAAACACTTCCCAGGGACCCTCATCCCCCAAGAGTTTTTGTGGTTTGAAAAATCCAAAAAGGAACATCCCAGGGATTTTCAATGGCTTTGGGGGCTTTTGGAAATTTAGCAAAACATGTGTCGGGCTTTTTTGTTTCACGCGCTCACATGTCAATTGGTGCCTGCGGTTCGTCATCGGATGGTCCCTCATCTTCTTGTTCAGCATCATTGCTGATGTAAGTCAAATCCACATGTTTGAATCGATCCGGTGGCTCCCAAGAAGGATGCACTCCTGGATTAAAATGAAAAGGCATTTCCCGTCGATGGAACAAATGGTTGTAAGCAGTAGGCCTCGCCTGGCGTGGCCAGACACCTTCGCTCCAACAAGACAAATAGGAGTGAGCATCATGACTGATCACACCATGTTTCAAACATTTGGGAGACATCGGTGCAATGTTTTTTTTGACCCTCTCAGTCACAGGTCTGCGGTCAGCTACCCCAACTGGCTGTTGAAATCCCAATTCCAGAGCATGCGCACGGTCTTGAGTCATGAGCACAACCACTGCATAGGGTTCAGCGTCAGCCATGCGTTTCTTTGCAATGAGAAGTATGTCTCCAGGATTTCGGGGTTTTGACCCAGGAAGTTCTTGTGTTGTGCACCACCCCATGGAAGTGGGGTCAACATCACATCGGCGAGTGATCCGTATGGAGCCAACATATCCTAAGCTGAACGACCGCAAACCCATTTGTTGGAACTAAAACTGCGTGGACCGATTGTTTGTATTTCCCGATCCCCACTAAAAAAGTTGAAAATACTAGCTGAATGTCGTAGCCCTTTCACCCAAAGCCCTGTAACTGCCGCCCAATCTTTCCACTCCGCCACCTCATCCAGCTTTTGAGAGAAGGCTTCAACTGTGTGCGTCTTGTGCCGTTTCCGCTGCTGCTCACCCGGATCCGAAGGACGACAACATGAATCCAATATCTCAACCACTTGTTCAGGGGTATCAAAGGTGTGCCGGCAAATCAAAGCTGCTTGTTGAGAGAAAGCTTGATCCAAATCTTCATGACCTTGGTCAGTTTGATTTTATTTAGAACATTAACCATTTGACCGAGAACGAGAGGGAACAGACACAACAAACAAAATAAAACCAAGTGGTAAATCTCAAACTAGACACTGTGTCCTGTTCGCAAAAAGTTGCAAACGCAGAAGCGAAAGCATCGCAGAGCCACTAAAAGAACCATGTGGGATACTATGTGCCGGTTTTTTCCCTCTCTGTAGCAGTTGTCTTGCTGTAAGCAACACCCCATAGGAAGTGAACCAAAACGTTGGTACACATCGGTCAGAGTTCGGCTGAGAACTTCTTGTTGAGTAGTTGAATCCTTTCTCAAGTCTTCATCACTCACCCACAGGCTAAGACGGTGGCCATGGGCCCAAGACCCTGTGACATGCAATGTTGGTCGAAACAATGCTTGCAGCATTTTCGGTTGAGAAATCCTACCAACACGGGGTACTCGGAATTTGCTCTGATCCATTCCGTCTATGTTGATGCAAAGGGTATTGGATGCTACCGATGTAGTCAACATCCTTACTTGTTCAGGGTTTTAACAAACAATAACCATTCATCCCAAAATGAATTGTGTTTACACTATGTTTTGGATTGGGTGATCAACACATGCATCTAAAGATGGCATTTGACAGCTCAAAACAAAACTACTCAGAAATGAAGTCAAGAAACTTGTGACCCATGTCCAGCATAGTCTTGACCCAAGTTTGTGACATGGACCTGTAGCTCCAGTATTGTTGTCGGTCCAACCACTGTGACAAAAGATGATGACTGTATAGTCGGTATGCCTCTTGGCGTTGTGCATGTGCCCGGACAGTCTTGATCTTAAGCTTTAGCTCATAGCAAAGGTTGCATTTGCCATGCTGATTCACACCACGGAATTTCAAGTGCCCCCCCCGCATTCCCGGTCTTAAAATGGCATTGGCCACCCGCAGAAAGGTACCGCAACTGGCAGCTTTTTGATCCTTTGCCAAACATGATGCATAGTATTCCCAGTAAAGCTCCGTTCTGGATGAAGCCTGCAACCACCGACATGGCCCCGCAAAAGTACCTGGACCTATAAGGTGTACTTCGGGGTCGGAACCATATGTTTGCAAACTGAGTAGGAAGTGGTTCACCATACGCATCTCAAAGTCGGGATCTTTCTTCTCGGGTACTGGTACCTCTTGGTCCCTTGGCATCTTGAAGTCAGTTGGCATTACTTCAGCAGTGGAATGGTAAGTCTGCCAAAGGAACATGAGGACCCCACTCCACATGGTAGAAGCACTGCCATCACCCATAGTGACACCCAAAGTTGGGTGCTTTGGTGCTTTCTCCCGTCTCTTGTCCGTGAATGCTGACAGCCCAGATCTAATTTTTTGGATGGTAGAGCTTCCTATTCCCAGCAAAGATTGTAACGCATGGACACAAACCTCCTTCCCCAGCAGGTGAATTCCAGGTCTCCGTTTTTGATAGGTTCTCTTGGGTGGTTTGGCATCTTCCGCATCTGATGCCAATAGGACACTATCATCACCAGAACTTGCATCCAAAACTTCTGTAGATTCAACATCGGAAGCGTGCAAAATGGATCCCTGATCAGAGTCACTGAGTGGCAGTAGATCGGAACCGGCCTCTGAACAGTTATCTTGACCAGAAGTAGTAACAGAGAACAGTTCGTTGCAATTGAACAACTGTCGGACTGCATTTTCCTTACTCTGTCTTAGATCCCTCGACAAACAAAAAATGTATTTTTTGGTTGTTACTGGTGGTGGTTAATTCAAACCAAAGGAAATAAGACCATTCAATCCAAAACTCAACGAGACTAGTAGGTCACTGCCAACAAGAATGTATATGTTTTGGATTGGATGGTCAACAAAAGCTGAACTCAAACAAACTACTCTATCCGATGGGTCTAAAGATGCCAATTCAGACCGCTTTGCTGCGACAGACTTCTCATGACCACAAAATTGTCGAAAACAAACTTTGCGCTGACACCGGCAATCTCTTTGCACAAGCTCGTGGACATTGATTTGCTCATGCCCACCCAATTTGGACTTAGCAATGCCTTCGGCATGGCTAGGAGTGAAATCCACATCACACCTTTCATCATCAGAAGCTAGGAGCATGTGCCCCTTTGAAAAGAAACAGGCTCTCCGAATATAGTGTGATCATGTGGGCATACCTCGAGTCAAACTGGTTAAGCCCTTTAACTCCCCAAACTAACCGTTATCATGTGTTATCTATACTCATTAGTAGTCATTATTTATAGCTATTAACAACAATGTTCAAACCATGAACAACCATTAACCAATAACAACAGTCACCTATAACCATTAACAACCATTATAGTTATATTGACAAGCAATACCATAACCATGAACAGTCATTTTCCACCATTAGCAACCATTATGGATAACCATTAACAACCATTGTTCATAATCATTATGTAACAACATGTTTTGTAGCACCAATATCTAACAACCATCATTGTTCATAATCATTAGCAACCATGAACAACCAGTAACAACCATTGTTGATAACCATGAACAAGACTCTTATATACCATTAACAACCATTATTGATAACCATGGAAGAACTATTTATATCCATTAACGACCATCATGCACAACCACCAACACAATTACGGTTGACCGACCTGGCTGGGTGGCTGGGGCCATGGAAAACATGTTTAGTCGTGTAGTGGTACCATGACTATCAGTTTGAAAATCAACCAGTGAATCTGATTATGATTATGAAGTTGCCAATTGCTATCAATAATGGTTGCTGCTGGTTAAACCTAATGGTTGTTAATGCCTCCATCTTTGTAAGAGAGAGGCATCGGTTTTTTAAATCATTGTAATGATCCCTTACAATGATTTCAATCACATAACCCATTATAACCAAATCATGTGTTTGTCCACCCAATGCTGAGGTGGCTTCAATAATTATACCATGACCCCTTAAGATGCAAACCGACAATGTGGGTATTAATAATTGCTTATCATCATCTTTGTTTTTCTGCTTCGCAGTAATAGACCCAGTTTTGGTTACCCTTTAGTTTTAGCATGTTTTAGCCTTATTCACTTGTCATGGTATATGCAATAATTGAATGGTGGCTTTCATATCTATAGTAATCCTCAAAAAGATAGAAAGCAAATGTTCCTCATTTTAGTGGGGTTTTACTTTTCTATCTTTTTGGGGATGGCTATATACTGATACCAGGCAGGCATCATATCCAAACCCGAGTCCTGGCTTTCGCTTTGGGCTTGCCAGGCTTCTTCAATCCAGCAGGCCTTTTCAAAGCAGCCGCCGGCTTCTTCATTGCGCTGCTGACAGCGCTGGCCGCGCTGACGACTGGGGGAATATAATATATTAGACCCCTGAGGTATCTTGCTAAGTAGATAAAGATTGATGATGATTGATGTAGATCTATTTTGTTCCGTTTGCTCTATTATGTTCCTAGAATAATAGCCTGCAGCCCATTCTCGCTAGGAGCCAGGATGAATGGCACAAACGCAGCACCAAAGCAAACAACCATGGTTGTGAAACAACCAAGTCTGGTGAAAGCTCATTATATATATATATATGGAAAAGCACCATTTTAAGTTCAGTGAATCATCAAAACAAATGGGACATCTATACTATATATATAATTATATCATATGTACCATAGCTATTACAAGTCAGTGACGGTAGGGTGGCAACATGTTCCCATCGCTCAAAAACAGCCACCTATTACCGCACTTGAGCTCGACCACTTGCGTGGAATCCGAACCTGGCTCCAAGGCGTGTCATGGATCGCTTGTCGAAGCCTAAATGTTTTTTGTTTTTCGTTGTCAGTTACAACTGAGCTAACTGAACCAAGCTATGACAGCTATGACAGCTATGGCAGCTATGACAGCTATGAGCTTAGAATCAACTAAGTCCCAAACATATCATGGGGGTTCCACCTTCTAACATATCAGGACCATCCGAAAGACCCCAAAGAAAGCTGCCCAACGTTACAAGCGATGGTGGACCCGAGTTATATCGCAAAATCTTGGGCTTATAGGATCACAAACACTTGGTTGACAAGCGTTAATTGCTAGCTATATAGAGATAGTCCAAACCGGGTCTCTTTTAAACTCGCAACCAGGTCATAAGTGGTTTGCATGAGGTTGTCATTTAAATGGAGAGAAATATGGCGGAAGAAGCGACAAAAGTCCACCTGGCAGCAGGGCCAAATAAGGCGACTCCACGGCTTTTTCTTTCACGGGGTCGAGCCGCAGGGAAAATGTTGTTTTGTCTCTGTTGATGGTGTTGAGCTCCTTGAAGAATTGGGTCAATGACATATACTCAAATGATGAAATTTGATGTGTGTTTTTTTAACCATTGATGAGTGGATTGCGTTTTCCAGACATCATGCCAACCTTGACCCTGGAATGTCTAGATCTGTAACCAAGATGGTGTGATAAAACTCGTATTTCAATACTTTTGGACGGTAGACGAGGGCCTTGGTGTATACATGTATAGACTTATTTATGTAAAATCATAGATATACATTATACAAATTATACATGTCTTTGGTCCCCAAGTCTGCTTATGTCTGCTGTTTGCTTCCCCTAAGAAAGAATCCTTTTCGGTGCCGCTCAGATGCGTCCAGGATTCAGTTTTCGGGCGTTTCCTGAGATGCTCATGGCGCCGATCAGTTGCGAATGTACCAACACAACAGCACTTCGCATGCAAACAAAAAAAGTAAATGAATATATATATATATAAATGTATGTAATTATATGTATACATAATTATATGTATATATGTATATAATTATATGTATATATATATAAACAACTTTTTATATTGACTATATCGTTAATATTAGGTATATATGAAACTATTGCAATATAAATATGTTGGAACCATACGTAAATAGGCACATTTTAAAATAAGCAAGAAGCATCTGACCAAACATTGAAATCCAGGATTGCAATCCAGGCCCTGTGAAGCCACTGGTTAGGCATTCTCCGCAGTTTGCCATATAGGATTGACCTGAATATTCAACATAGACCTGCCTCGCCTAGTATCATTCAAGACACCTTCCAGTATCCCGTGCCTGACGCTCCGATCGCGTACCTCTTCTTCTTAATGCCGCCAATCGGCGATTGTTTGTCTTGCTGCGCTGGAACCGCACTGGTAGACCCTTCTGCAAACGAACACCTCGCCTGGTCATGGGGGAAAAACCTCGTAACAAGCTCCATGAGTTGGGCTATGGGGCCGCTGCAACTATGGTTATATCATGTTATATCATATTTATATCCATTTCGAACTGGGCACTCCTATAAGTCAAGTCAGGTAGCACCAAAACAAAGGTTCAGCCCACATTCTCTTCTTTTAGGGGTTGCCTGCATGGTGAACCGCCAACAAAAAGGATTGAAAGGTGTCCGAAGGAGTGCAAACCATCTGAAACCTGCTCGACTTTCTACAGAATTTTCACACCATGGTGACATTTTTCTGGTATCGATGCCAATATTCAAGGGGCGAAAGGCACTGATCCCCGCCTGTGCTTGATTTCAAGCAAGGTCTTGCAGTTCGCCTTGCAGCCAAGGGTGATTCCCATCAACTCTCTTAAGATCTAACGGGGATACTGAATCCTCTAATCTGGGGGTCGTTTCAACCAGCTATATGTATATATAGTTATATGTAATATGGCATCATGTGTACAGATGCATTATCTTATGTGTCATATATGTATATATTCTACTTTAAACATACATGCATACATACATACATGCATGCATACATACATACATACATATATATATATATACATACATATATATATATATTTACATACATACACATATATATACATACATACATACATACACATATATATATATACATACATATACATACATTAACCATTACATTACCTTACCTTACATTACATACATTACATTACAATACCATTACAGTACATCATACTCCATTCATTACTTGCATTCCTTACATAACCATACATACATAACCATACATACATAACCATACATACACATACATTACATACATTACATACATTACATACATTACATACATTACATACATTACATACATTACATACATTACATACATTACATACATTACATACATTACATAATTACATACATTACATACATTACATACATACATACATACATACATACATACATACATACATACATACATACATACATACATACATACATACATACATACTACATACATACATACATACATACATACATACATACATACATACATACATACATACATACATACATACATACATACATACATACATACATACATACATACATACATACATACATACATACATACATACATACATACATACATTACACACACATACACATATATATAACATACATACATAACATAACATTACATTACATACATAAATGCATACATACGTACATACAATACATACACTACATACATACATACATACATACATACATACATTACATCCATTACATACATTACATACATTACATACATTACATACATTACATACATTACATACATTACATACATTACATACATTACATACATACATACCATCACCTTACATACATACATTCCTACTTACATTACAATTACATAACTTACATCATAACAACATACAAACATACATACAATACATACTACATACATACATACATACATACATACAATTACATACATACATA